TCAAATAAATAAATAAAATATTAAAAAAAAAAAAAAAAGACTGGCCCAGGATGGAAGTTCTTGGGTTTTTATGCACACGTCTCCCTTCTCCTTGAAATGACCAAAATTCCCAGTGTTTCTGGTCTCTCCCAGCTTCCCAAAGATCAAAAGAGCAAACATTCAACCTAAAGTACCTGTTTGTCATGCTTTTCTGCCATCTCTCCACCACCTGGGGCGTCAGCTGTGTCTCGAGGGTCTTCATCCCAGACAGCTTGTGCGGGACCACGATTAGCATGCTGATGCCCCCCACATACTCCAGCCTCAGGACATCGCAGTCCAGCTCCTGGTCATTTGCTGCCAGAAAGTTCCCCTTGGTCTGCATCATGGAAACTTTGACTACCTCTCGCTCATTCAGCCGGAAGTTGTGGTTGTGTGTCATTTCTACTGGGAATTTATTCACCCAGGATCCTGTAAAGTCAACAAGAACAGGGCTTTTACTAAAATATTATTTTAAAGCCGTGGTCCACACATGTGAGCGTGCATCAGAAACACCTGGAGGGCTTGTTCTGTCTGCAGGGCCCACCCCCAAAGTCTCTGGTTCTGTAGATCTAATTTGAACCAAGAACTTGCATTTCTCACAAGTTCCCAGATGGTGCTAATGCTCCTGATCCGGAGACTACACTTTGAGGACTGCTGTTCTAAATGATTCCAAGGTCAGAATGCTGACATACTTGTAGGAAGTATGATAATGGTAGAGAAGTTAGATAGACTGGAATGAATTCTGGTTTAGATGAGGGCACTAACTAGTTGTTTGACTCTAGCAAGATGCCGAACGTGCCTGGACCTCTACTTGTTGACTTGTAAAATGAGTAGCTTTTTGCTTGTGGCAGCTCTGTTTCGATGGTTTTCATCCCTTCCACTCTGTGACTCCATAGGGACTAGCAGGATACACTGATGATGCCGTCAGATCTTCATGTCAGATTTGGGTAAAATGCTGTGTGTCCAGGAGTAAGTACATGTCTGTTTTAGCTCTAAGATGCTAATAACTATAATAATGGCCTCTCACTGACAACTGAGAACTGGCAGTGTGCCAAGCATTCCTTTAAGCATCATTCCTGTATCCTTCGTTTCCTGCTCCTAGCAACCATATGAGATGCGTGCTTTTTATTATACGCCTTGTTTTACAGATGAGGAAACAGAGGCACAAAGAAGCAAAGTAACTTGTTCAGGGTTTCCAGCTGGTAGGTAGAGCCACTGGGATGAGATAAGCCTCTGCCCTGGGCTTCTCAGTCTCAGCACTGTTGACATTTGGGAAATTCTCTATTGTGGGGGCTGTCCTGTGCACTGTAGGGTGTTTCGCAGCATCCCTGGCTTTTCCGCCTGAGATGCCAGGGGTGCTTCCTCCTTCCCCCTGGGTTGCGGCAAGCCCCGATGTCACTGTGCTTCTGCTGGAGCCTGTCACATGTCGCCTGGGTTTCTTTCTTTCTGACTTCCTCCTGAGACCCAACCTGTTTTTATTGAGCTTTACAAGGCGGTTATAGTATTTGTAACTAAAAATCAAATTAGTGGGCACCTGGGTGGCTCAGTCAGCAAGTGCCTGCCCAAGGTCCTGGGATCGAGCCCTGTGTTGTCAGGCTCCCTGCTCCACGGGGAGCCTGTTTCTCCCACTCCCTCTCCCTGCTGCTCCCCCTGCTTGTGCTTGCTCTCTCTCTCTCT